CCGTTGCTACCTTTTTCATATTGTTAGAAGAGATGAATATATCCAACAAAATGTACAAAAAAATGTTCAAAATTGCGTGTTTGACCGTGATTTAGGAGGGGGCGTGAGCGTCAGTTTCCTTTTGTTGACCTTTTGTTAAGCGTAAGTTTCATATGTTATTATAGTTTATGGAAGAATTCCCCCTCAACAAGTTAAATTTGTAACATCTTTCTTAGGTTGAAAGGAATATTTAGGTTAAGTTAATAATCTGGTGTCGTCTCGTGGCTATACTTTCGAGTAAGATTATCATGGTTCCTGGGAAGATTTTTTCACTTATATTTATTTATTTATTTATTTTGGGAAAACGAGTTAGAAGTAGACTTTCTGATCACTGATAAAAAAATGAAATATTAAACCACTGCATGGAAGCAATTTATTTAGTTCAAAATTATTTACTTTAAGCAAAAGTATATATAATATATATCATCTGCTGTAAAACTTAAAATTAAGAAAAGACCGGAGTTTTCTTGCTTTACCTTGGCAGGAATGGTGAAAGTTGGATCAAAGGGGAAAAGCACTTTGGCAAATATTTATACTGCTTGATTATTAGATTGATTAGATTTTTGCTTGAAATAAAAGCGGAGTTCCTGTTATACTCTAGAAACGAATCATACCGCCAAAACTATCGAGGAAAATATTTAACTGATGTAACTAAAAAAATTTAACGTGTTGTGAAAATATAGGGGCTCTAAACATAATATATTAACGCCTGGTATAAGAGGTTTGAAGTTGTTTCATACAATACTTGAGTTGTAAAAGCAACATCATTTCATAAAGTGTATAAATCTCACCTTCATATAGTGACTGAGGTACGTTCACTGATGTCATCCAGTTAGAACTCAAAGGTGTTAATTTTTCGACGATTTCAATACCGTCTAGTACGAGCAAGTCAGACCCACAAATGAACTACGCAATAAGCTAGTAGTATACCAAAATTTCGTCCAAACTGGCCAAGAAATGTAAGCGGCTGATTGATTCAAACTCGAACTATCTTCATTTGAAGTGTTTACTTTCCGCTCATGAAAACCGCATCAACGGAGTTTGTACTTAAATTTTACCTCGACAAAGCTCCACCGCGACAAGCTAGACCTCTTAGATCAAAGTTGAGTGGCGTGAAACTATAATTCGGCCTCTTTTAAAACGCTTCGTTCATTTCCTTCAATTATTTATTGATAAGACTGGTGTTTTCCGTGTCAGAGGAAAAGATAAGGATTTATTCCGTTAAGAAAGCAGGAAAATAAATACATGACTTCAATTGGTGGAAAGGGATTGTCTGGATAAAGCCCAAGATGAAGCAGTAAATAGGTTTCCCGCCTGACCTCATGAAAACAGGATACCAAATGTGGACAATCGTTTACGTTTGGGTTGGTATTTCAATTGTGACGTCACCAAGGGAAGGTTGTCGTATTGGAAGTGAATTCTTGAATAAGGCCAAGGTCGTGTTGGTATTTCAAACTCCTTTAGTTAAGGACTCTATAAACTAAACAATCAGTTATATTGCTTGTTTAACCTCTTCAGCTAAGATTGTGCGTGAATTTCTCCCACTGTAAAAAGGCGCAATTTTACTGCATTTTTTCGAGAACAAATTGTCACTAATTTACAGCGTATGGTTGCTATAAACCGAGGGACATGTAGCAAAATAGACGAGTTGCTGCAAATGAGAAACGAGTTGCTGCATATTAGAAACGAGTTGCTGCAAATAAGAAACGAGTTGCTGCAAATTAGAAAAGAGTTGCTGCAAATTAGAAACGAGTTGCTGGGCAAGCGAGTTAGACGAGTTGCTGCAAGCGAGTTAGACGAGTTGTAAGTAATAATAAGTGTACAGACTACCGGGCACGGATTAATTCAATGCCCAATGGTCTTTAACCTGCAGCGAACTTGTAGCAACTCGTTTCTTATTAGCAGCAATTCGTCTAACATGCAATAACTCGTTTCTTATTCGTAGCAACTTTTTCTGTCTTACTAATTTGCAGCAACTGTTATTTGAAGCAACTAGTCTATGACATGCAGCAACTCGTCTAACATGCAGCAAATCGTCCAACTTGCTGCATGTCATCGTCCCTCATTGGCCACAGTAACAGCGCGCATCAACAGATCTAGACGAAAAACAAATTAAGCCAAATAGCAACGAATGTCGTAATTTTGTACTTTTCTCATCACACTTTTCATTTTGAAAATGATTGTACTAATCTCGTTGCAACCGTTTTCATTTATGAGTAAGTCTAAAATAGTTTTGCAAAACATTTTATGGCGTTTGGTCTGATCAGGGTCTGATTAATTTTAATGAAAAAGATGTAAATTCCAATTGCAATGCAGTGGACTGAAGAAGAGCCACTCTGTGGAATCCACTGTTAATTCTTTTTTTTTCTTCTTCTTCTTCTTCTTCTTGTTTTTTAATTCTATCATTTATTTTTAAGACAGGCTAGAAACGCAGTAATCGTTTCGGTATTTGCGAATGAATTTAGATTAAATCTCCCGACTACAAACCTCACTTCCATTAGATTTCATCTTTAATTCTAGTTTTTTTCCTAAGAAAGATTTAACTACTGAGACCCTTATAAACCTAAATTTATTTTTCAGCACAAAACGTCTTCTAGTAAAAATATACTTAAGTATCATTTTATTTTGCTTGAAAATAAAAGTAAAATCAGTAGAGACAGCAGATAATACAAAAAGATAAAGAAAAGATTCAAGATATTTCTCTGATCTGATCTATAGTTCGTTATCTACGGTTGATAATCTTTTTCCTGCTTTTCCTAATTGACATATTTCTTAAAAGTAATTAGCTTCAAGTAGAATGATCATCCAAACTCATGCAACCTGATATTATCTTGCGGGAAATTTTCCAATATTTATGTATTTAAACTTTTCGGGGGGTAAATGCCAGTAAAGCCGGGAATTTCAGAACAAACTGAACACGAATAAATGAACGTACGCCTCAAGCCAAAACTTTTTATTTTAGCTTTAGATGGAAATCGGTCAACCCCAACACAGCAGACAGGAAGCGAAGTCTAACAAATATGCTTAGCACCAAAATACTGTCAAAAACCAGACAAATACCAATATTTAAAGACTTAGAGGAGAAATTCTTTTGAACGTGCCGGCTTTTTTTAATAAGAAAGCACTTTTACTGATTAAGGTAAAACTATGAACAGACAAATTCGACATTTCTAAAGCGCATGCCTGGCCTATTTCCGTTCAGAATTTCATTCCTAGCAATAATTGCCGTCGTCTATCACGCCTAATTTGTAAAATGGGCATTTCTTCAAAACTGATGAAAATCCCAATGTATCCAAATTTGTACTTTGTTTACCAACGTTTTTTCGTCTTCAGAGGATAAACTGAAACTGTTTTTCTATAATATTTATGGTTAACAGCAGGACACTATGATAAATGAAACGCTATCGTTCAACATCGGCTATGACGTACGGTTTAAATGAAGAGTTTGTGAGCATTTCTAGTTAGCAAACTAGCTAATGATTGTCAACAGCCCTTATGTCTTGCTAGCGCTCATCAGAGCTAGAGAGCACTAGTTCGAAAATATTGATATGATTGGACGTGAAATAAAGAGGTATCCGACTGATGCCTTCGTTTTGTTCGGACTACAAGTATCAATGAGACAGTGGGAGACAAATTAGGTTTACGGTACACCACAGGGAGCCCACTTAAGATAAAGGCAATAAAAGAATGAAGTCTTGTGTAATAGAATAGTGCAGTCTAGTTATGTCTTGACGTCGTGTCCATCCAATATTTTGAGATTTTATTATTATTGATTTATCGATTAAAAATAACCAGGACCATACTCCCAGACCCGAATGCTGAAGCGTTGTATGGCAGCGCGAAGCATTTACGGCTATGATTTCGACCCCAACACCGCTATCCCGGAAGGAATTACAGACTGATCAGGAAGCTCGGCAGAAGCAGGGAGAGGTCCCTGTACGTAGACCGTGTAGATGGTTAACCCCTTGCTATGACCAGCAATCACTGAGGACTAAGCTCCCATGTACCCTCCTTTCCATGTGGGATGCGCTTTGAAATAACTGAACGCCGCACATACGCAAATAAGCACTACTCAAAAAACACTGATCTATTCTTGTTTTCATTGTTAAATTTTCACATTTTCTGATATTCAGGCAGCAATCTAGGTTGTTTTTAACAGACAAATTTTGATTGGTTACTCGCTTGTTTCGTGACATCAACAAACCAAGATGGCGGCCTTCCATTTTCTTCTAAAGGCATTGATTACAAAAGGGGAAAAATTTTTTACTACTTTTACATATTTCAGGATTATTTTCGATCATTATTTTAAAGTAAGTCGCGGATATCTATTTCCCTGTGAGTTAACTCGGTCCAGTCTTTAACTAAATCCGCGGTAAAATTATCAGGAGTAAGGGACTGAGAAACGGCGTCTTGGGAATGCAAGGAATGAATTGCAGCTTTGAGGCCAAGTTTTATGCAGATCTCTGGTTGGTAACCTCTTATGATAGCCATGATTATAGCGGCAGCAAGACTGAAAAAAGTAAAAGGAAGCTAATTAAAATATTGGATTATCCCTAGTATTTGGTTCCGTCATTGAAATGCAAATATGAGGGTGGGCTCATTTGCGACCAGTTCAGTCTCGTACCCAGAGCTCCTCGGCTTATCTTCGGAAAAGGAACGAGAAAAAGGAGCTCTGGGTACGAGACTACGACCAGTTATAAGTTCATTAAGTAATGCGCAAGCAAGTCGCGGCTCAATTTTTGTCAGAAAACATTATTTATGCGTGCGCTTTATCATTATCAAGGATGAAGTCTCGGCGTATGCGCGCACGAAAATTTGCCGAGTCCGGGCAGAGATTCCTACATTCAAGCTCCCAGATCTCCTCGACAGTCGTTTCTTTCTACTTCGACTGGGAGGAAAGACTACTGTGGAGGTCTGGCTACGAGAATGAGGTTCTATTTTTAAAAGATCAAGTGCAAATACAACAAGAAAAATCCAGTAATACCAAAGAAACCAAAGAAAAGAGAAAGATGAAAACAGACCTCTAAATGATCCAAAAGTTTTAAAATTAGTCCGCTCATTAATTAATCGCCCTTAGTATTGAGAGAATTGCTCATAAACTTACAAGTTTATTTCTCAACACTTTTTAGTGACGTGCAAGAATGTCCAAAACATCTCAAACAACAAAATATGTGACAGCCATGTTGAATGAACCAAAATGGCGCCTATGACGTCACTCGCAAAGTTTATACACATGGCGGACATCAAACGAAGAACCAGCCTACCTGTCGCCTGCTCCTGTGACGTTGACGATGTCCTTTACTTCAGGAACAGGAAAGTGAACCACTGATACGAGCTCATGATACATGGTGAGCATTTCTGAAAACTGAGCCGTCGGAAACCGGTGGTCAGCGGCAGTATTCCGACAAACGAGGACGCCATTTTTTCCCAGGGTTATAACGAGACAATGAATATGAGTCATGAGAGGCTGGGAGAGCAATATACATTCTTCTATCGCATCCTCAAGGGATTTTTCCCGGTTTCGTAATTTTTCGGCTTTTCGATGTCGCGGTGCCTTGTGGTACTGAACAACAGTGTCGCTCATGCTACGAAGTTCGTGCACGTTGGGCGAGGCGTACGTGATGTTCTGCCACGCAGATGACTGGAATGGTAGAGCTGATTTCATCATACACGTGGGCTCAAACCAGACTACGAAAAAGATCAACTTATTAAAACATATTATACGACATCAGAGTTTACTATTACTACAGCTCCTTCCAATGACACTACAGAAAAACGTTTGCGCATGCTAATTAGCATACGGACTTAGAGCATGTGCAGGCGTTTTTCACTCGTGGTCGTGGTTCAAGCCTCGGCCGGACCAACACTCAGGGTCTTAAAATAACTGAGGAGAAGGTGCTACTTTTGTAATTACATCTGCAAATGGTTAGACCTTCGTTAATGGGTCCCGTCCCTGATTAACTAGAGACGTTAAAAGAGGACCACAAGTTTATCAGTTAAATTACTGTCAAGTGTTATCCTCTATAAACAAAGTTAATTAAGAGTTATTATTAATACTGTTTTAAGTCAGCTAGCTTACCTGGTACTTTATGTTGTGTGCAGAGCTGAATCACAAAATCTAAGCTCTCTTCTTTACTGTTAGCGTCGACAATCACTAGAGGGGCATTCTTTATGGACTCCTCGAAGCTTAAAATCTGGGGAAAAAATATTAGTGTTCTTGTTACACGGGACGAGTTTTTTCTGAAACCTTGAATGCGGACAACGCAAAATATTTAGTACCGATGGTTCTTACTCACGCGGCAGCCATGTTTATTTTCATGGAAATAAAAACGTTTGAGGAAAAGATTGGGTAGAAGGCGTGGGGGCTGTGTTATCGGGTAATCCACAACCGGCAGAACGAAGCCTGGGAGTGGATGAACAAACAATGAATGGTGAGATAAATCAAAGAACGCAGCTCACATGTAGAACAATACACATTGTTCACCATAATCCATGCTTTCTTTGTTTTTGTTATTTTGTCTAATCCCAAGCTTCGTTCTACCAGTGGACACCGACCCGTGTTATGAAACAAAATAGCCGCCATCTTGGAAATATGTACATAAAGAGCTCCACAATGCACGACGATGCCAACTCGCCCCAGTCTTTCTCCTTAACCTGAAATAGCTAATACCCACCAAATGTGGTGTTAACTTTTGATGTATATCCATATCACCAACTGCTACGTTAAAGTCGCCTTCGTTACTCAGTATAGTAGAGTAGGTTCCTGTTTGACATGTGCTGAAAGTTTGAATCCCACCTGTGGACTATATATGAGTATCGACATCAACATACTAGAATCGATATGTCAAAATTACTGAAATGAAGGCACCCAGTTCCGAACATTTCTACAAGTCTCTAGGGAATGGACCTCGTCGACGATGCGGTAGTTCATTCGTTTAAACAATAGAAAACAAGACAATGCATATAATATAAAACAATACACTACTATACATTACAAAATAACTGTTATAAATCTCGCATTCTGGTTGGTTGGGAGCGTGTGCTTTATGAGACACAGCACGCACGCGCCCTTTGCATTTTATAAAAGAAATAAAAAACTTGCTGTGCTGTGTGAAGTTATAAAGCACTTGGAATTGGTAGAACACTTGAAAAGTGTTGGTATATATTAGTTAACTTATTCCATGTAACATCCAACATTAAGGAAAAAGCGCAGCAAATCAAATTTGATATTAAGAAACTAACAAACAGAGCCTCTCGTAACGTGGATATGAAGAAGGCTGCACTTACTATATTTACTTCCCGACAATGGTCAAGCAACATAGCGCCCAAAGGGTCCTCGCCAACAGCAGAGATGAATAATGGCTTCATCTTTAATCGAGATAAGGCCTCTAGAAAAGTAAAAAAAGATCATGTTAAATCTAAAATGTCTGCAAGCTTGGGTAATGCTTTCCCATTCCAGACCACGTGTCACTCTCTTGATTATTATCTCTTTGTTTGCTGGTATTGCTTGATAAAACGTTTAACATGGATGTTGCGAAAGCACATAATTTTTTCTCAAAGGAATCATAAGTGGTCTGGAATGGGAAAACATTACATTATGCCCAAGCTGAAAAGGTCTTGATTTGCTGCAGTATTGTTTGACACTTACCAGCAATGTTCCGACCAACACCACCAAAACTCATTCGCACCTTGCCTGGATTGGATGCTTCAGGCTGTAGCAAATGACAACGATATACCATCATTATCATTATTAAATCCACCGCTATTCATCATCGCCATCATAATCGCTCACCATCATTGCCATTATCGTCATTACCCACCATCATCATAATCGTCATCAGCATCGTCATCATCACCATCATCATCATGAATCATCATCATCACCATCATCATCTTTGTCACGGGGGAGTACCTAGTACATGTTTTAGGTCAGATTTAGTATTATCATCATCATCATCACCATCATCATCCCCACCAACATTATCATCATCGTCATCAGTATCATCATCATCATCATCAATTACCATCATCATGATCAACATAATTACCATTATCATCATCATTACCACCATCATCATCATTACCACCATCATCATCATTACCACCATCATTACCATCATCATCATCATAGATGGCTGCGCCTACCAATGCGCCGCCTCCCAACGTGGTTGTCATGGTTTCACTATCAAATGTGAGTAGAACAAATACTTACAATAATTGTTTTGGCTGTCGCTATAAAATCGACATTGGAGCCTCCTATAACAACCTGAAACAAACAAACAAAACTTGCATGAAACCCTGCTACCCTACTCCACATGATTTTTAACAGGGAATTGCAAGGGTACTTTTGGATTTCAAATTCCAGGAATTTTCAAGAAGCTTATGGAGTTGCACCTATCCTAAGCATATTTCGTTCTTGTTCCGCGCAATGCACAAAAATATTTGCAAAAAAGGTAGCACACAAACACAACTTCTAAACACGAGTTTATTTGCAAGTTTTATTTGAATTTCAAATTTCATGAATGAGTTTTAGTTTACTTACTGGTCGTCCACGTCGTTCACTACCATTAGTCTCGTCATTCGATACCCTTTTGCTAGGCTTAGTCACATCGTTCTGGTGATGAATTAGTCAGTAAGATATAAACATGTTAACATAAAGTGTTTTGCGAGGTTTTATGGTTTCCACGTAGTTAAACGAGTGCCATTGACGTTTCGGCTGCTTCGAACTAAGTGGAAAAGTAATTTCGTGCAAATGAAACCTGTGCTGTAAGTGAATTAAATCGTCACGAATTCAGTTTCCCAAGGCTTTTGAAATGGGGAAAACGGGATGCTCAAATTAATGGGCGGTATATTATGGTGGGAATCTGTTAACAATGTAACATTCTGTTCGGGAGCGATGGAGGCCTTCGAACGTAAAGAAACGTCAACGCAATCCATCACCAGCTATGTATGGTCAGAACCAAGAATATTAGCTGCACGACTGCTACAGCGCCTTAATATGCAGCCCGTAAAATCCTTCATAGGTCATAAAAGTGTAAAGCACATTAAGACGATGTATAAATGCGCTATATAAGAACCTCGTCTTCCATCAAGAATTGCTTGCGCAAGGCTTACTTTGAAATGCAGTTGCCCGTCTGTAGGCAAACTAACAGATCCCTGTGTCGTTGCTGGCGACATACTTTTTCTTCCTTGCCTGAGTTTAGAGAGTTCGACGGCAATTTGACTCCCAACTCTTGCATTATTTTTTACGAGAGAAAAGTCTGGAGCATAAGTTAAAGAAAAATGAATGGTTTTTAAGTAACTAAAGACATGGCTGCCATGCTGGTCGATATAAAAAGGATTTTTAAAAAATGGAGTCGTTAGCTCAATGCGGAATTGCTTTCAAAAATAAATTAAGGAATGTGTAAAGTAGGACCCTTCTATGAGCGATCACACGTATAAACTAGACTTAGGTTTAAGTTTAGTTTATTATAAGGATACTGGCTTGGACAGACTTTCCTTCGGTCAGTTCATTGAGTCTCTTGAGAACGAAAGGGGTAATGTCTTTGCCGATGATACCTGTTGAGCTATAATAATATAATTTGTTAATAAAAACGGTTGCTGTGATGGTGGTACGATGATGATAATAATTAATTAAGTGGTGTTGGTGCTGCTGCTGCTGTTTAGGTAAGGTGATTATGATGATAATAATTTTCCCTATTCGATTTTTAACCTCGACTATTTCTTAAATTGTTGGCTGATTGGCAACTAACCTTGCTTCATTCAGTGCTTGTTGAATTGCTTGCTCAATAAGTGACCCTTCACCGGCTTCTTCCTCAGGTATGGGTACTGCAATGACCATGCCTTTCTGAAGACCAAATGACTTGCTACAATCTAATAGATATAGACCCAACAACATGACTTTTAGAATGAAATAAATTACCAACACTGGTTTTCCTGATTTTCATACCTATCAATTTTGCTGCTTCTATTGGAGTTTGTACAAAACAGGAAGACTAGAATAAGTAAATATGCAGAGTTAATACATTGAAAAAGTCTTGTAGCTAAGAACGAATGAAGATATATATATGTTATTTACCGGCCAGGAGGTCCGGATAGGGAAAAAATGTGCCCGAGGTCTTGAATATACGGAGCGAGGCCGTTAGGCCGACTATAGGACGGTAAATAACTTTTTTTCCCGTATTTTTTTTACTTGTTTTTGTAATCGTTTTGTGTACCGGACCACGCGCGCGCGGGCAGATACTGACAAAATACCGCCCGCTCAAACAGCCAATCAGAACGCACGATTTTTTAGGATACCGGACAGGAAAAAATTAAAAAAACTATTACATCATTTGATATGTATTCACTAGCAATAAATCTCTTTACTTAAGTCGTAATGTTTTTCCATTTCAGACAAGTATCATCTTCTTGAGATTAAGATTCTTTGTTTCAATTGTTTCCAAATTCACGTGGCTTCTCTTGTCAACCATTAAACAAAGAAATGATACTCTAGGGAATGACACGTGGTCTGTAATAGAAAAACATTATGCTTAAGACTTATTTTGTTGTCTTTATACCTCAAATCCACTTTTAGATGTGAAGAAAGAAGGAAAATCTTTTGTGTTGCCATATGTCGCCACGGTAACACCTTGGGTTTCCTATACATCATGACAAAAAGTTATGAGTTTGAAAAATATCTCTTAAGGTAACTCATCAGATTTGGAAAATACAGGTAGCATAGCTGCGATAGTGCTCGTCTCTCACCTATGTAACCCATGTTCGATTCCTGGACGCGGTGTCGTATGTGTGTATCATATTGTATTGTATTGCATGTTCTTCCCTTCCCAAAAATCAAATTTTAAATTCCAATTCAATCATGGGATGAGAGCCACTGGCAATTGAGTGCCACCCTCATAAAACAAGGATGATTTTTAATCTGTGATCACTGATTGGTTCCAATGATCCAGATATATTCTTGCATTGCTATAGTGGTGTAATCATAGCCATATATATACCAGGTATTCCAGGGTCAGTTGGATGTCCAGAATAGATTTGGCACCAGCACATACAACAGCCACAGGTGTTCGTCCTAACTCTGTCAGGTCAGCACTGACATCAAATGCTGCAATATTAACACAAAAAGGTAACTAGATCTATTCACTGTTAATTCACAAATATGTATCCAGAATGCATGAAGTTATGTTCCCTAGAGGGAGTTGAATATATCAGGGGTAATAGTAAACAAAACATCACCAAAATTAGTGTCAGAGGGCATCGGCCATTATCATTCTACCACACCTTAGTGACAACCTACCAACACCCTACTGACCACCTACCAGCACCTTAGTGACAACCTACCAACACCCTACTGATCACCTACCAACACCCTACTGACAACCTACCAACACCCTACTGATCACCTACCAACACCCTACTGACAACCTACCAACACCCTACTGACCACCTACCAACGCCCTACTGACAACCCATCAACACCCTACTGACCACCTACCAACGCCCTACTGACAACCTACCAACACCCTACTGACCACCTGCAAACCCCCTACTGACCACCTACTAACACCCTACTGACCACCCACCAACACCCTACTGACCACCTACCAACACTAGTGATAACCTACCAATTAACACCCTACTGACAACCCACCAACAC